CGGCCAAACCCCAAACCCTCCGATGAGCCTTTCTGGTCCCGTTTCACATAATTTTTGATATATGTCACAGTCTTTTTGTGCAGGTTACCCGAAGAAAGAACTCAGCCGCGAAGGAGGACCGGTCAGTTTTTATAATTTTCCGGTCAACCGAGGTCCCTAACGTATTTTTCTGCAGGGATACCACTAAAACTAGCTAGGCCGAGACGAACCGCCGCTGTGAGTGGTGGAGCCGATGCCGGAGCACGGCGATGCCGCCGTGTTGGAATCCCAAAATTGGTCATAATGAGTTTTGGACATCGAATTTGGATTTCTATGGTATTTTTAGGTACATGACGAATGTTTTGGATTCCGCAAAAAAATTCAAAAAATCTGGTAACCGTTTAGAGATATAGTAGACAGTGTGACGTCTCAAAACACCGAACCGGATAAGGATCCCTTACTCTATTCTCTGTTATGGTAAAATTGAGATTTAATGATGTATTGTTTTATATTTTTATGAAAAATTAGAAAATCCTAAAAATAATTACAAGTTACTAGTAGAGGCAGAACCGATTAGTGCATGTTTGTCCTAATTCCCAGTTTATTTTCCTATTCTGCCCTAAATTTCTTATCATTACATTGTGCATGCTTACATTGATAGTTTTTATAGTCTTCTCGATTATTTGGGTTAATTGGTTCCTTCTGTATGATTTATCTAGTTATCTGATTACTCAGTTATTGGTTATGATAAGTTTAATAGCTTACTTGAATGCCATTTTATTGATCTGTAAATATAAAATGAGATGTTGGTATTGCGTGGTTAATTGTTATGCTGATGGAATCTGTAAGTGAAAGACTTACTAGGTACCCGAAAAAAGGGCGAACGGATCCAGTACATAAAGAACCTTACCATGAATATTACCTTAGTCGGATGGGGCTGAAAAGTTCCTTACTAGTAAGGTTTTAGATATATAAGTTCACTCTCATACCAGATGGGTATCAAGATGGTGGAACATTTGGCACCCATTACCAGATGGAGTATGGGAACGGCCGGTTAATTGTTTAATTGAATATTAGGTTCACGAGTAGAGAGACATCCCTATGGACTCCCAAGGATACCGGTAAGCGAGTAAAAATGAAAAGTGATCGTCTCTTATTATTTTATAAGTGAAAATAAAAAGTGTATGAATATGGATCTTCATAGGTTGTTTTTGAAAAAATTCGTTACGTAAGTACGAAATAAATAACTTTTTTTATATTAAATGTATTTATATCAAATTAAGGACTCCATTAGTTATTTTTCTTATTTTTACCAATCTTCAATTTTTCATATATGTGATTAGTATGATATTCTTACTAGACTAGTGTATCTCACTCTTTCATTAACTATTTCATATCAAGATGACTAAAATTCATATCCTGATCAGTAAGAGTGTTGTGAGTAGTTCACCACCCGAACTCCTTTCAAGTACTAGTGAAGGTTGTCGTAGGATATTTATTTATTCGTTTTGCTTTAATTACCATTTGTCTTTTAGAATTAACATTCTCATAACTCTATTAGGTATTCTAAACTATTGTGTAAGGAATGTAAATATTAGCTCTACCATTCGCTTTTGCATTTAATTCATGAATTTATTTCCATTTAAGTTTCGAGTTCTACATCCTGAACCAAGATATGCTCATGATATCATCAGTGATGAGCTGTTGGATATCATCCAATACGTGAGCATGTGAATAAAGACCTATTTGTAGAGAAAAGCTAGTAATCGTCAACCGGTCAGCACATTTGTTATATTCGCAATAGACATGATGGATACGGACCTACCAATCCTGCTGTAGCAAGTGCTTAATTGTACGAACGAGAACGACATGCACATTAATATCGTAATCATCATTTATAAGTAACTACACTGTTAGAGAGCTATCCATTTTTAGAATGATGTTGCGAAACTAACTTCTTTATTTATACCGGGTAAAAGCAAAGTTCATTTTTCTCATTTATATATGTTAAAACATATTTTATATGCTGAAAGCATAAACAATTTTCAAAAAGTATATAAAAATTACTTAATTGTATATATTAAAAGTATATTTTAGCTTTAAATTTGATCAAAAGTGCTTTCAACTTTATTTTATTTTAGTTTTAGATTTGGTCAAAAATATTCTTAACTATAGCCAAAATTTGTATTCAAATACCCATATCAGCCAATATATATTAGGTTGTTCTAATACTTTGTGGCACAAATTAAATTTTATATTGGGTAAAATATAATTTTATATAAAGAAATTTTAGTTATATTAATATTTATAAGCCATACCCTAAGCACTAATATGAAAACTCATCATTTAGAAGAAAAAATTATAATTAAAAAAACTAAAAAAATAAATAGTGCAGATATTATTATTTTTAAAAAATTCAAAAATAATTATTTTATATAGGACTATTACTTCAATGAAAATATAAATGTGAATATCATATAAACTAAATTAAATTTTAAATGAAAACATTGTTCTAATTTTAAACTAATTGTAATATTCACTTTAAATTAAACTTTAGGTTATAACTATATTAATAAATAAAAATATTAATATTATAAAATTAAAATATAAACAAAAACCATTTTGATTTTATATTAAATATGTAATTTAACAAAAATTGGAGACGAGCATGGGGCATGTACTGCTTCGTTTCAACTCAGTAGTTTACAACCAAAAAGAAATTGAATTTGAAGAAGCCAAACGGTTAAAACTGAGTTTGGCGGGTTCCAGTGCAAACTGAAACGGCCTGTTCCCCACTGCATACGCGACCTCAAACTCCACGCTCCGTTTCCACTTGGCGCGTGCATACACGAACAGGAGATCCGAATGGGCGTGACAGTCTATGTTCAAGCGTTACCTGATGGAGAAGCAGAGCCCATCATATCGAGATCAACAAGCGGGCGAAAGGCTGAGAGCTTTCCGATGAAGTTCCCCAAAGGCGATGCCAAGTGTCGATGCCGGATGAGCAATGCACAGTTTTCAGTGTTTGCTGAGGAGGACGATAATGGCTTCTTTTGTCTGCATTTCGGTTCTATCGTTCTTCTTTCTCCGCTATTTATACCGTTTTCTCTGCACCTCTCCAAACCCTCTCTGTGCTTTATTTCACTTTCTATGTTTGATTTTGAGAGAGAATCATGCCGACCACTAGGTTTGAAACAATGCGAGAACGAGTTCAGGACGCTCTCTTGGTTCACCGCAATGAGCTCGTTTCTCTCTTCTCCAGGTTCCTCTTCTGGTTTTTCATTTTGGCACAATTTATGTAGATATCTGCATGCATGTATGATTTTGTGGCTTTCGATTACTATTTTTTCAGTTATGTTTCGTTTGATGTGTGTATTGAGAATTTTTGAGGGGGTTTGGTGTTTGTGCTAGGTATGTTGATCAGGGGAAGGGGATTCTGCAACCGCATCAATTGATAGATGAGCTACAGAAAATTATTAAAGAGGATGAAGGAGTGCAAAAGCTCAGTGATAGTCCCTTCATGAAAGTCTTGCAATCTGCTCAGGTAACAGTTGGGTTAGCTTCTTGATTAATGGCTCATAGATTCATATTTGAACTTGGTCTTAATCTAGATAGAATTATGCAACAGATATCTAAACCAATACACATACTGGTACTTGGTCGATATAAGATAAATATCTCCTAATAAAGCTTAAGCACGAAGTTTTCCCTTTTCCATGATTGTTAAGGAGCCTTTTTTCATTTGATTGCAATGATTTTACCAATATTGTAAGAAGGATCTGCCATATTTCTGTCCTTCGTCATTGCTACTTCAAAATCATATCAAATGCTGTTATTCCAAAACTTTCTCTTGAGAAAGCAGTGGTTATGGATGCTGCTGCAGTATAGTTTGTAATAGGGGTGTTAAAGCAAGTTGAATACTGGACTTGCTGGCCATAGCAGCACCTCTAGTTTCCCGATAATCTTGTTTTCAATGGTATTTTACAGGAAGCTATAGTTCTACCTCCGTTTGTGGCAATAGCAGTTCGTCCAAGACCTGGTGTTTGGGAGTATGTTCGAATTAATGTCTACGAGCTCAGCGTGGATCACTTGACCGTTCCTGAATATCTTCGATTCAAAGAAGAGCTTGTGGATGGACAGTAAGTTTGTAGCCTCAGTTATGAATTTTGGATATGGATATGTTAGTTTCCTATTTGGCAGATACAGAGTCTTTTTTATTACCTTGAATTGCATACGATATTTTAACAATTGGACTTTATCTGTGCTAGCTGCAACAACAACTACGTGCTTGAACTTGACCTTGAGCCATTCAATGCAACGTTTCCTCGACCAACCCGGTCTTCGTCAATTGGCAATGGGGTTCAATTTCTCAATCGTCACCTATCTTCAATTATGTTCCGTAACAAAGAAAGTTTAGAGCCTTTACTTCACTTTCTTCGCAAACACAAGCATGACGGGCGTGTGAGTATCTTTCAGAGAGCATACTAGATAAATCCTTTAATCCAAAATTAACATTCCGTTCACATTATCTGCTGAAGCTTTCTTGTACAGTTTTTTTAAAATGTTAATATATACTTACAGGAAATTTCTGCAATACTGAGTTAATTGCCAGTTTCATTTTTTCTTGCTGTCTGACTGAAGTACCTGAACTTTGCCTTTGTGCAGGCAATGATGTTGAATGATCGTGTACAGAACATATCCAAACTTCAGTCTGCCTTAGCTAAGGCAGAGGAGTTCCTTTCGAAGCTCCCACCAAATACACCATATTCTGACTTTGAATTTGAGTAAGCAGCTAGCTATATTGGTTCTTGCTGTATTTTTTGTCACTTCGCAGTTCTGGTGAATTTGAGTAAGCATCAAATTGTCAAGTAGATTTAACTCTTTTTTTCCTTTAATACATTGAATAAATAACTACTATTTACTTGATTCATTATTTTATGAACTTTGCATAGATTGCAAGGAATGGGATTTGAGAGAGGCTGGGGTGACACAGCACTAAGGGTATCAGAAATGGTGCATCTTCTCTTGGAGATCCTTCAGGCTCCCGACCCTTCTACCTTGGAGACATTTCTTGGGAGGATCCCTATGGTGTTCAATGTTGTGATCATGTCTCCTCATGGTTACTTTGGGCAAGCGAATGTCTTAGGCCTGCCTGACACTGGTGGACAGGTCTTATCATCAAAAATTTAGTCTAATCAGATTCAACTATGCTAAATTATGTTTTGACATCAGAAATATGCATCCACCTTCTTATTCGTTACACTGGCTAAGATTCTGTAGTTTACATATGTTTGGTTATATATTAGATTCCAAATAACAAAGTCATTTTATTCATTGTCGAGTAATAGATTGTTTATATACTTGATCAAGTGCGCGCCTTGGAAAGTGAGATGCTTCTTCGGATACAGAAACAAGGGTTGGATGTCATTCCAAAGATACTTGTAGTAAGTGCAGTTGATTTTTCATCTAGAAAAGCAGTTTCTTCCTTTCCCTAAGTTGGCTTTCATATAAATTTTCATTTTTACTTCATCCCTAAAATGGCCATTTAAGGTAACCCGACTCATACCTGATGCAAAAGGGACAACATGCAACCAAAGATTAGAAAGAATCAGTGGGGCAGAACATGTGCATATACTTCGGGTGCCTTTTAGAACAGAAAATGGGATTCTCCGCAAGTGGATTTCAAGGTTTGATGTGTGGCCATATTTGGAGACTTTTGCAGAGGTAAGCACTGTCAAACTTTGAAGTGCTTCTGTAGTTCTTTTGTTTTGTTCTTCTCATGTCCCTACTGTGCGCAGATGCCCCTAAATTAATTGTGATAATTCTAACACACAAATTTCATTCTAACTATCAACAGTAAGATTAACATGAAAACTAAACTAAGAATTGACTAGGAATTAAATAGAAAATTAACCAAACAAAATGTTGATGTAAAGCATATTCAATCAGTGATTTCTAACTTCATAGCATTGTAAAACCATTTCTCAAGCGCATAAGAAACTCTTACATGCAAACTCTGCTTTTTTTCATCAAGATTTAATTGGAATACATAAAAACTAGTAAAGAAATATAAAATGTATGAAACACATTTATAGAGTCCTTTTATTGGAATTTAGCATGTATAGGTATCCTTAATGGTTCACATTGACAAACTGTTGAATTTTAGAATAATGTTTTCTACTTCTAGAAGGAAAAGAGGGAAGCAAGAAAAACATAAGTAGACTGTCTAAGGTTAGATGGTATCTTATATGGTTTCTCTCTTTAAAAACTTGGGTTTGTGTCCATTTAATTTTGTGTCTTCTATTAGGATGCAGCAAATGAAATTACTGCAGAGCTACAGGGTCTTCCGGATCTGATTATCGGAAACTATAGTGATGGAAATCTTGTTGCGTCCTTGCTATCCTATAAGCTGGGAATTACACAGGTTCAAATCATCTTGTAATTTTGGCTTTTGGACAAACATACCAAGATTTGAACATCCACAATGATACAACTAATTATTCTGACCTCTGCTATGTTTTTCATTTCTCATGTAGTGCAACATTGCACATGCATTGGAGAAGACAAAATATCCTGAGTCTGACTTATACTGGAGAAAATTTGAGGAGAAGTACCATTTTGCAAGTCAATTCACAGCTGATCTTATTGCAATGAACAATGCAGATTTTATAATCACTAGCACATACCAAGAAATTGCAGGAAGGTAACTGACATTTTCTTTTTTTTCCTGGATAAAATGAAGTTACTCATCTAGCAATGTGAAAAATTATATTATATGGTATGTCCGATTCCTGCTTGCCTTGAAATTGCTTACACACATTTTGTGTCTTAGAAACAACCCATAGTTTTGGCTTTTTGCATCAAGCACTGCTGCATGTAAGGATATTGATTATTGCCAAAGTGGAAGATTGTGGCTCTTGCAATCCTTCATATCTACCTACGGCACTTTCAGCTGATGAAATTCTTCTCCAATTGCTGGCTTATATATTGTTGTTTTTCACAGTAAGAATAATGTTGGGCAATATGAGAGCCACACAGCTTTCACTCTTCCTGGTGTTTATCGAGTTGTTCATGGCATAGACGTTTTCGATCCCAAATTCAATATTGTCTCTCCTGGAGCAGACATGTGCATATATTTTCCGTACTCTGACAAGGAAAGAAGACTTACTGCGCTGCATGGCTCAATTGAAGAGCTCTTATATGATCCGGAGCAGAATGATGAGCACATGTGAGTTTCTTCTCAGTCTAAAATGTAAAACTAATGATACTATGGCCTCTCTTCTGGTTTTCTTTTCAAGGCCCTTCAGATAGCACATTGTGAACTCTAAACTTGATTACTTCACATGCATCTCTTGCTTAAGCTTTCTCAAACTGCTGAATCGCATGCAAATCTCTTAATGTGTTCCAAGAAAATTGTTACTCAACTCCAACATGAAATCACTCCAATGACCATGTTTGTAAATGCATGATGTTTACTTGATGACATATCAAATTGTACATTTTCTTTGTTTGTCTTACTATTTATATGTCACTGCAGTGGTTGGTTAAGCGATCGGTCAAAGCCTATCATCTTTTCCATGGCAAGGCTTGACAGAGTTAAAAACTTAACAGGACTTGTTGAATGCTACGCTAAGAACAGCAAGCTGAGAGAGCTTGTAAATCTTGTTGTGGTTGGTGGCTATATAGATGTGAAGAAATCCAGGGATAGAGAAGAGATGACAGAAATTGAAAAGATGCATGCTCTCATGAAGCAATATGCATTACATGGCCAGTTCAGATGGATACCAGCTCAGATGAACCGTGCACGTAATGGCGAGCTCTACCGGTACATTGCAGACACAAGAGGTGTTTTCGTGCAGGTATTTGATAGATGGCTATGTAGTAAAATAGTTTGTTTAAGTTATCAAAGGTACATTAACACATAATATTATTTCTTGCAGCCTGCCTTTTATGAAGCTTTTGGCCTTACAGTTGTGGAAGCCATGACATGTGGGCTTCCTACTTTTGCAACTTGTCACGGTGGTCCCGCTGAAATCATTGAGAATGGTGTTTCAGGGTTCCATATAGACCCCTATCACCCTGATCAAGTTTCTGCTCTTTTGGTCGACTTCTTTGAAAGCTGCCAGAAGGATCCTAGTTACTGGAACAAGATATCCGATGGGGGGCTTAAACGAATCTATGAAAGGTACGAGCTCTGCCTGATGGAACTGCATGATTAAGCTCTTCATTCACTTCATCATTATCACCAATCCGGTGATTATCTGTAGGTACACATGGAAGATATATTCTGAGAGGCTACTGACATTAGCCGGGGTTTATGGGTTTTGGAAGCATGTGTCGAAGCTAGAGAGAAGAGAGACAAGGAGATACTTGGAGATGTTTTACATTCTCAAGTTCCGGGATCTGGTGAGAGTTCTTATCTTTACTAAATTTGTTTCAGAATCAATAATACCCGTGAGAGATTCTAAATTGGTTCTCTCTTGTCTTAGGACAGTAAATTTGTTTGTGAGATTTTCTGTAATAGACCATTACCATCAGCTCTAATCCCAGATAATCTTCCCAAATTGCAGTTGATTGCTTAACAATTTGAATAAGCTCCAATACCACGTAATCTGTCGCAATCATCGTTGATTAGTCAACAGATTTTCATAATTATTAAATCATCACTACTCTTGGCAATAGTCATTATATGTATATATGTATACAAACTTACTGTTTTATGAAATAATACAACGTTATTTCTCATCGGTTTAAGTTTTTAATAAAATTCAATTCAATTTTATTATCCAACGTGTTAAAAATCTAGGTACTAATAAATGTAATATCTATGCTATGCTTGATTTATACTTTTAGCATACCAGATTTGTATGTGAGAAAGTAAGCAAATTTACAAATAATAAATTGTTCTCTTCTCCCTCAACTCAAATTTTTGAATCGATTGGTCCAAGTCCATTTTATTATATGGTCCGGTTTCACATCAAACATTTCAATTTGAGAGGGCAACATTCTTGTAATTGTAAGGTTAATATACACTGTTTAGACAATAAACAGTATTTCAAATTGGAGAGAAAATGCATTTAATTCCATTTCCTTGCTGATAATGTTTCAGATTAAGTCCATTCCGTTGGCTGTGGACGAGCATTGAACTTCCGTGGGCTGGAGAAGCCGAGAGACATTGCCGTTGGAGTTTGCTCTAGTTATGTAGTTGCCTTTGTTGTTGTTGTGTTTTTCACCCATTATTGTGCTTATGGGTGGAATTTGTGTTTGTTCGTGAGGGTTATTTTTATTGGGTTGGTAGAAAAATGCTTTGGTTTCAATGTGGTTCATGTTCCCTTTTGCAGACAATGACTTTGGAGTATGCGTTAGTAAGTCTCTGTTGATTTTGTCCGTATATTGTTGTTTAGGATTAATGAACTTTGTTTATGAAAATAATAAACTCTTAAAAAATTAATTAATTTCTTAATTCAACTTTAAACTATCAGGTGTGAATTTTTATTATTTTAAAAATATTCTTTTAATAATACTTAATATTAAATCTTAAAATAAACTTTTAAAAAAAATAAGATGAAATTAAAAATATTTTTAAATATACTATTCACATTTTATTGTTTAGGCTTTGTGCCTTTTTATTCTAACATTGTCTTTATAGTTTTAAATTATTTTTAAATAAATATTTTTATTTAATTTTAAAAAAAAAACATCTGGCATTTATTTATTTTTTATTTTCATTCTTTTGCCTTTTTAATTGTTAATTAATTAATTAATTTTTTTTTTTTTATCAGAGTAAACAATTATCTCTCTCATGGCAGGTTCAAACCATTTTCTTCACTATGTTCCCCTGTCTGTTGTATTACCTAATTTAAGAAAAAAAAAAAAAGGACTTTCCCAAGTAGGACATGTGGGACCCACAAAAAATACAAGAAATTAAAATGGATGATTGATTATCACGATCATCATCTCTACGGCTCCGTCTTGCATGAAACAGACGAACACGACACCGTTTTTACGTACTGCGGCTATTATGCGCCTACGGCAGATAAAAACCGCAGTAGTTCCTTGACCGAGAAAATACTTTTATTCATTAAAAATGCGGCATAATAAATGTTTTTAAAAAATAAATATATAAATGATTTTATTTATTAAATAGAGATATATTTTTTACTGAAAGAGAGACAGAAAAAATAGTTATATCCGTTAGGTAAAAGCAATAATTACATCAGAATATATGATAATCTGTGTCAGGTAATTATCCTAAGTATCTATATCTTCTCCTCCATGTCTGATGAATTCAGCACTTGATTCTGGAGCTCGGAAAATTTGTTAAATTCAAAATAAGTGAGAAACAAAGAGAAGCTAAATCGAGAAAATGGGGAGCCGTACGGCTGATCTGGTGACCCAAGTTCAGGCAGCTCACAGCTTAGACCTCGACGCCTTGCGTCGTTATGCAGCTGCTAATATTCCCGGGTTCCCTGTCTTCTCATCGAACTTCTCCGTTTCTCAGGTACTAATATTACCCTCTGTGTACAAAGATATTTATCTGTAACTATCTATTTGGATTTTTAAAAAAAATATTATTTCCTTGTTTTTTAATTTTTTTTTTCTCATTTGTGTGTGAGATATTTAGTTTGGACATGGGCAATCGAACCCGACGTTTCTGATGGAGGTTAGCTCGGGAGAATCTGTGAAACGATATGTTTTGAGGAAGAAGCCTCCGGGGAAATTGCTGGAGTCTGCTCATGCTGTGGAGAGGGAATTTCAGGTAATAATTTCTTTACCTGTAAATTTCGAGGGTTTCTTTTCTGTTCTACTAATTTTTTAGAATTTAAATTGTATTTGCTGCTTATTTTTCCTTGCTGAGAAAATATCACTTATGTTTTCATTTGGTGAGAGTTTGGGTATATGTGATTTATCATAACTAATTATCAACAAAATAAGAACAAGAGATTGATTGTAAATTGTGAAGAACTGAGAAAAAAAGAAAAGACAAGGTATATATTATATATATATTTTCTAACACATTGACGCGGCAGGTTCTTCGAGCATTGGGTGAACATACCCAAGTTCCAGTTCCTAGAGTTTTCTGTTTATGTACAGATCCTAGTGTGATAGGAACTGCATTTTACATCATGGAGTTCTTGGAAGGACGCATATTTCTGGACCCTAAGTTACCGGTAAGATGTCACTCTGTTTGAGTGCTTCTGATTTCAATTATCATCACCTTGAATGCTTGAAACCGGCCTTTTTCATGGCTTTAATTCAGGGGGTAGCACCTAAGAGGAGAAAATTGATATATCGAGCAACTGCGATGGCATTAGCTTCTCTGCACTCTGCTGATATTGATGCCATTGGTCTGGGAAAATATGGACGACGGGACAACTATTGCAAAAGACAGGTTCATAAGTTTTCTTATTTTTCACCTCATGACCATTTAATTTGTTTGTTTGGGGAACAAAGCTTATAGATTGAGTTAAGGATGCATATGTGGGATGGTCAAACTATGGATAGAATCTCATAGCATGCTAGAGGCATAACTTATTGTACTCTGATTTAAAGCTTCTTACAAAAGATTATTTCTTTTTCCTACGTAAGGGGCTCATGAACATAAATATAAAGATTAAGAAGTAAAAATAACGTGTACAAATCACCGTAACAATTTTGTGACTATTTCAGATAGAAAGGTGGTTCAAGCAATACTTGGCTTCAACCAGTGAGGGTAAGCCCGAGAGAAATCCGAAGATGTTTGAACTGGTTGATTGGTTACAGCAACACATCCCTCCAGAAGATTCATCTGGAGTAACAGCAGGTCTAGTTCATGGAGACTTTCGCATTGATAATCTTGTATTTCATCCCAGTGAGGTGTGGTGCTTCAGAACTATCTAGTTCATTCTTAGTGCATGTCTCATTGTACAGTGAGATGGTTGATATATCTATTATTTCAAAGGATAATCAAATCTTTAAAATACATACTTCAATATTTATATTATTGTTGGAAAGAAATTTCAAATAGGGGTTTTGTTCAGCACACTCTGATTGATTTTTTAATGCTCCCAATCTCAATATTCAGAATAAGCTTTGACAAGCATAAGAATCTTAGCTTCCCATCTGACAAGATGCTCATAATGTTACAGGACCGAGTAATTGGCATTCTTGACTGGGAATTGTCTACCCTTGGAAACCAAATGTGTGATGTTGCATACAACTGTATGGTATTAAGCTAATATTTGAACTTCAGTTTTGGCATGGAAAGGCTATTCAGTCTCTTTTGTTTTTAGCTCCCAGTGCACACATTATTATGTCCTGTTCCCTCTTGATCTTCATGATCAATATGCTTCTGCATTCCCCTTCATCTGGTTCCTAGAGACATAATCATGTAGAAGACCAAGGGTTATTTGGTTATATTCCTATGCTGATTATTATATCTTTTTATTGTCAGCCTTATATTGTGAATGTTCAGCTTGAGAACAATCGTCTGGGTGACGGATTTGAAGTGACTGGAATTCCTGAAGGGATTCCTTCACAGGCAGCGTATCTGACAGAATATTGCTATGCATCTGTAAGTTCTGCTCGAATAGGTTTGATCAAACGATGTTTTATGCAGAGCTATTCAATCATTAAGTTCATGTATCTTTTTTTTTTTTGAAATAGAAAAGTTCATTTAGTATTATTCTCTCTTTTAACAGAAAGAAAAGAATTGTGTGGCAGTTGAGAGAAGTCTGCAGTATGCATGCTGCTAATGCAACTAACTGTGGCTATGATTTGACTATGATTTTGAAGTAATTATGATCTTACTTAGTGCTGACTTAATCATCTTTAATAAACAGAAAGTGCTGATGTAATCAGTAATGATGCTGACTCAAGAAAATTGTAGTCTCAAGGCTAGCAAAAATGGGCTGCTTCGTGAGCCTGATACAGAAGGATGCATTATTTAAATCATTGGCCATGAGTATTGCCTTTGTTGATTATAGAACATCCCAATAAACATTAATATGGGCCTTGTTAATCCGTAACTGAGAACCATCCGTTTGCCAATTATGGCCTTCTTTTGGTATTTATTTCATGATTAAACTATTTAGTTCTTAAACTAATTGAGGAACTTATGTACTATGTGAATGTTGCAACCTAGGGAAAACCATGGCCAGTCGCAGAGTGGAAATTCTATGTTGCCTTTTCTTTGTTCCGGGGTGCATCAATCTACATAGGAGTATACAATCGATGGCTTATGGTATTCCCTGAATGAGCACATATGATTGTTATCGTTTTCTTAAAAGGTTAAGAGGTTGAATACTAATGCATCGCGTTTCGTATGATACTTTGTTCAATGTGATGACAGGGTAATGCTTCAGGAGGTAAACGTGCTCAAAATGCTGGAGCTCAAGCTAATGCCCTTATAGATGCTGCACTGGCTTTTATTGCACGAAAAACTGTGCTTCCTGAGCGCCTTTTATCTGGTAGATTCCTCAACTTTTTGGTCGTGAAATTTAATATGTACAGGACATTCAGTTATTTGCTTTTTGTTCTTGGAAGATAGTGATTTGAGGATTGCACTGAATGTGTTGAGAGTAGAATTAGAAAATTAACAGACAGGGACAATGGCATATGTTTACAATGGTAAAGCTTTGGAATTAAAATGTCTTCCATCCAGTCATGCCAAATAGATTACTTTTTTTTGGGATTTTGTGTTTGGTTCTCAAGGCTGTGCATAAATTCGAATACCTGTAAAAGAGAGTAGATGTCATAGAGATATAGAACAAAATATAAGTTATTGTCATCTCATGAAAAGTTCTTTTCCCTCTTATATTGAACTCCTCCATTGAAAAAGTGATATTGAACAAAACATAAGAAGGCCATCGTTTTCAAAAAGTGTGCGAAAATCTTTTCAAAACCATATTCCTTTTTGTTAAATGTTTGTGAACTATGCTCTGTGTGCACATTTCTTGCCCCCAGTCTGGTGACAACTTGTTCCTACCTAACATTTATCTGAGCTGCATTTCTTTTTATTGCTTGGATGCAGTTGGTCAAGATGCGAAACATGTCAGAAATGAGAGTGAAGTTCAAGGCCTTTCTGATGGGAGAGGGAGGTTTGTTCCCAATGAGAAAGTTCTGGAGTTGAGAAACAGATTGATTAAGTTTATGGAAGATCATATTTATCCCATGGAAACTGAGTTCTACAAACTAGCACATTCTACCTCACGTTGGACAGTTCACCCCGAGGAAGAGAGGTTGAAGGAAGTGGCGAAGAAAGAGGGTTTATGGAATTTGTGGATACCTGTACATAGTTTATCTTCTTCTTCATGAAATTTCCTGCCTTTTTTTTATTTTCTGTGTTTCTCTATCTTCCTATTCTTAATTGGTTGCTTTTCTCAGAAACATGATATTCTTGTGAATTTGGTTTTATGCAGTTTGATAGCGCCACTAGAGCAAGAGAACTACTCAGTAATGATTATAAAAGTATTGGCTCTGGCAATTCATCTGATTGTTTACTTGGTGTGGGTCTCTCAAACCTTGAATATGCATACCTTTGCGAGATCATGGGTCGTTCTATTTGGGCTCCACAGGTGTTTAATTGTGGTGCACCTGACACGGGAAATATGGAGGTAAATATTACTAGTGAATTCATTGGGAACTAAAATGACCAGTTGCCATGACTGCTTATTGATTGTTAATGTTCTCTCTTGTTGAAAAGGTAATATTACCATTTTATTCCCTCCGATGAGCTTATGTGAAGAGCTTATCATTCCTGGAGATTGATTGAAATTTAGGATACATATTTGTTTGTCTGAGCTAGCTCTTTATCACTAAAGCTGAAGGAAGGAAGGGAACTACCTTAAATATCATGAAAAAAATTTGTAACTTTGTTCATCAGTTCCACCATTTAAGGGTTATTGACTAATATTCTACAATGTATTAGAAGTAAATTCTTTTTTTTTTTTTTAAATAAGCACTAGAAGTAAATTCAGCAGAGAAGATATCTTTGTTAGCAGTCTCAGCTGAATTATGTGCTAGAATGAATAATTTATTTATTAATGAATTAAACATAAATTTATTTTATAAATTTTATTAAAGTTTACATAATCAATTAATTTTATAAATTAATTTATTTATCGTGTTGTAAGATCCAATTCATACACCCAAACACTGTTTTTGTTCAGTTCTATTTAGTCATACTTTATGTATCCTGTCATATAACATGTATCCACCAAATGAAATGACACTTATTTTGGTTCTCTTACTATGGTGGTGGAAGATACACTTCTTGGGCTACTTTTGATATGCATATTAATACATCTATTACTCGCTATTGGATCATGTACCCATGGGTTATTAATATTTCCTTTTTCTTTTGGTACCTTTAGGTGCTTCTGCGGTATGGAAATAAAGAACAACTATGTGAATGGCTGATTCCATTGCTTGAGGGTAAAATCAGGTCAGGATTTGCAATGACAGAACCACAAGTTGCATCCTCTGATGCTACCAACATTGAGTGTTCTATTAAAAGGTAGATTTATCAGCTTCTTTTGGTATGCTCCTTCGGTAAAGTCATGTTCTTTTGGAAACTTACTAAAATAATGGAGTCCACATTAACAGCATATTTTAATAAAAAATGATGAAATTTTTTGTTATTTGCACCTTGGACTCATACCTAAAAAGGAAAGGCATGCAATTGGACTGGAATTTCTTTATCTGAGTATGCATGCATTCCTCTTATAGACATGGGGATTCATATATTATAAATGGGACCAAGTGGTGGACAAGTGGAGCTATGGATCCGAGATGCAGGCTTCTTATAGTCATGGTTAGTTGCTCAAATATGGACTCACAGGAAATTTTGTCAGTTGCTCATGTTTTCTGAAGAGGTAATTTGAACAATGTAGGGAAAAACTGACTTCACTGCTCCTAAGCATAAGCAGCAGTCCATGATCTTAGTGGATATCCAGACACCAGGAATAATCATCAAGAGACCTCTCACAGTTTTTGGCTTTGATGATGCACCTCATGGACATGCAGAAATTTTGTTTGAGAATGTACACGTGCCAGCAAAAAATATTCTATTGGGAGAAGGTCGTGGATTTGAGATTGCTCAGGTATTCTTGTACCATGTCTTCTCAATTCCTAATTAACCTGAAAACTTATGTTTCTGTTTGCATTTCTGTCCATGTAGAGTCATGAATCTTTTCTTCTTTCTGATTTCCAAGGTAGAAGTGGGACTCCATTTATGATCCTTGCAGTAGTATTGACCTTGTCATTTTTACCACACTGAGATTTCTTTTACAAGAACATGGATGAAAGGCATTGCCATTGCAGGTGAGACTAATAACTACAGTTTCCCCTTTGATATTATTTACGTCCTTGCAGGGAAGACTTGGGCCAGGAAGATTGCACCACTGCATGAGACTGATAGGTGCTGCAGAGTGTGGCATGGAGCTAATGGTTCGAAGGGCTCTTAACAGAAAAGCATTTGGAAAGTTCATTGCTCAGCATGGTTCATTTCTTTCAGATATGGCCCAGGTAATCTTAATTTGATAGTATCTTTTTCATTTGTGCTGAAATAATTTTATAATATCTTGCACACAATAAAAACTGGAAACTGATGATAGAACCTAAACAAATGGGAACACCATTTTCCCCAGGAGTGATGAGGCAGGGGGTAAATTTTCTTTAGTTGGAAATAAGTTATCTTTGCAGTCTTACCTTCTGAATCCTGATCATCTTCCCCACCTCTGAGTTCAGTAGTGTGTGATGACGAACTGATCTCATATAATTAAAATTTGTGCAGTGTCGAATAGAGCTGGAAAGAACCAGATTGCTGGTTCTGGAAGCAGCTGACCAACTTGATCGGCTTGGGAACAAAAAGGCCCGGGGAACCATTGCGATGGCCAAGGTGATCACTATTTTTGTTCATTTGAGATGCAGAATTCTGGTAGCTTGTGCCATTACTTCTAAACATGGTGTATCTCTTATATATAGATGTGTTCTTTCTTTTGAAATAAAAAGGAGAGAATTGTATTAATAATCGGCACTAAGGAGGTGCCTACCCGTATACATCATATTTACATACCTACCAAAACATCAATGAAGTCTCCTAAAACCTCCATTGATCCAGAAATAAAAAAGTCAGACGCCTGAAACTATTTATTCTTTTGGTTTGGTATAAAAAGCAATAGGTTGACCCACCCGTATACATCTATGTATCTGTTCGTACGGGGATATTACAATCGTTTGGCATTGCGTGGCAGGTGGCAGCTCCAAACATGGCACTGAAGGTGCTGGACATGGCAATGCAAGTGCATGGTGGAGCTGGCTTATCATCTGACACTGTTCTAGCCCATCTCTGGGCTACAGCAAGAACATTGAGGATTGCAGATGGACCTGATGAAGTTCACTTGGGCACCATTGCCAAACTAGAATTGCAAAGAGCCAAGCTATGAAGATTCAAGAATAGATTGTAACCGGGGATGCTTGGGAGATAAAAGTGAATGCATAATTCAAAATTCATCTCCCTACTCAATAGAACCAAACTTGAAAGGAGAGAGGACCCACCCTGTAATAAATCTCCTGTAAGATGTGTCCTTGAGGACTACAATACTTGGAAATAAAGCTTTAATAAGAAAAATATTGGAGTTTATTATTTTTATACCATAGTTTTTATTTCATTTTGTATATTACCATATCTATTTATGCAGTCAATCTATCTTTCTTCCTTCATATATATATATATATATATATTTCATTTTTTATAAATGATAAACTTTAGATATACAACATATACTACTATTAATAGTGAATTTATTTTATTAAAAATTAAGTGAATAATCTTAATAAATAAATAAAAAAACACACACACACACACATACTTTGAAAATAGTTGGAGGTATTCAAATATTTGGGCAGTTCCAATTTCTATTATCTACTAATAATATTTTCATTGTACATCAAAATTAATGAAGAGTATAACTCTATGTTTTTTACCTTTTATTTTAAAGATAATAATAATGAAGAGTATAACATTATGTAATACATACCAAAAAACAAAATGCCTATAAATGTACATTAATAAAATATTTTGACAAATTAAACTTAATTAAGAACATGTTAAACTTAATTAGTTTAGTAATTTTTTATCAATTAATTTATATAATTCAAATAATGAGATTATTAGTTAAAAAATTAACAATTTATATACTATTTTTTTTTCTCTTTTTTTTTTCTGGGAGTATGCTGTGAATCTTGTTTTGAATTATTCTAATTCTGCAATGAATATATTTCTATTAGATTATTAAAATAAATAAATTATTACATAAAAAAAATAAGTTGACTGATATTATGAAATTATTGTATTTCTTTTAAAGTATATATTAACAAAAAAAAATTATAAAAATTAAATTTAAAATTAAGTAATTATTACATTTTTAAAATAATTTTAAATTTAAAAGCATCAAAAGAGTGAAAAACAAATTATAATAAAGTAACGTGTTAAACAAGTTTCATGCTCGGACATTGCACTGATTTGGACATCTATGGTAAAATATAGCAAATTGAGTATATACATTTACTTTTTTCCTTTTTAATATTATGTACCGCTATATATATATATATACATGTCCCATATTTGTGGATAGTAGTTACAAGAGCGTGCGGCCCAATGGAAAGTCGCCTATATATAGAAAACTTGCAGATGGAAAATAAGAAGCTAGAAACCTGGTAAGCCTTCAACAATGGCGGAAGATTCTCTTTTCCTCAGATTTCTAAACAGAACTCCTCACATTTTCCTTCATTTTCTTTGTATAAATACCCCCCTTTACATCCCTTCTTCATCAACACAGAGCCCGAGGGGCATCAAGTACAGGAATAAAGAAGCCCCCACCGCTCTGTTTTGTTTTTTCTCGTTCCTTAATTTCATCTTCTTCTTGTTGTTCTTCTCTGGTTTTGGGAAGAACCCAACAAAAAAAATTTAAAATCCCGCAAAACCCAAAAAAATGTCTCGCGATAACAGCTCAGGCAAGCAGAAGAAGATGGCCATCATGGGCATCTCTTCCCTGTTACTGGTGGCTATGGTGATCGGTGTCGCCGTCGTCGTTACTCGCTCCACCGGCGGCAACCACGAAGGCGACGGCGCTCAGATCACGGCGAGTTCCAAATCTGTAACAGCCATCTGCGCACCCAGTGATTATAAAGAAACTTGTACAAACGCTTTGAATTCCGCCAAGCCAAACACCACTGATCCTCGGGAGCTCATCCAGATCGCTTTCAATTTAACCATTCAGTCTCTTAAAGATGGAATGGAAAAGGGAGTGAAAGCTTTGCATGATGCAGCTAAAGACCCACTTACTAAAGAAGCCCTTGACAGTTGCAGTGAGCTCACAAACAACGCCGTTGAAGATCTTCAAAGATCTTTCAACAAGCTTGGTGCTTTTGAATGGGCTAAAGCTGACGAATACATTGAAGATCTCAGAGTCTGGTTAAGTGGCGCAATTACTTATCAACAAACATGCATTGATGGGTTTGAAAATACAACAGACGACGCTGGGGAAAAAATGAAAGCTTTCTTGAAAACTGCAAAGGAATTGACAAGCAGTGGGCTTGCCATGGTTACTGAAATCAACTCCTTGGTTAAGTCACTGGATTTCTCAGAAGTCACAAATACTGGCCGGAGACTTATGGCTGACGACGGAATTCCGTCGTGGGTCAGCGGGGGGAAAAGAAGACTCCTTGCTGCAAACCCAGGTGGAATCCAAGCAGACGCCATTGTTGCCAAGGATGGAAGTGGCAAGTACAAGACTATTACAGAAGCTTTGGCTGCTGTTCCTCCCAAGAACAACAAGACTTTTGTGATTTACATCAAGGCCGGAGTTTACGTTGAGCAAGTCAATGTCACCAGACGCATGCCTAACGTTATGTTCATTGGCGACGGCCCTACCAAAACCAGAATCTCCGGCCGCCTCAACTTTGCTCAGGGCACCAACACCTACCGAACCGCCACCGTCAGTAAGTACTTCCTCCCTTTTGGATTTGGAATTTGGTTTTTTATTCTATAACTGGTGCTTATATATCATCTTTTTGTACAGTTATTAGCGGTGAACATTTCATGGCAAAGAACATTGGATTCGAGAACACGGCGGGAGCCATCGGACACCAGGCAGTGGCGATAAGGGTTTCGGCCGACTACGCCATCTTCTACAACTGTCACATGGATGGGTACCAAGATACCCTCTACGCTCACACCTACCGTCAATTCTACAGAGATTGCAGCATCAGCGGCACCATAGATTTCATCTTCGGTGACGCCACCGTCGTCTTCCAGAACTGCAAACTGATTGTCAGAAAACCACTGGACAACCAGCAATGCATCATAACCGCCCAAGGAAGAATCGACCCAAGAGAACCCACCGGCATTGTTCTCCACAACTGTTTCATCACCGGCGAGGCCGCTTACATCCCGGTGAAAGCCAAGAACAGAGCTTACCTCGGCCGGCCATGGAAGAACTTCTCAAGAACCATCATCATGGGAACCCATATCGACGACATGATTGACCCAGAAGGGTGGCTGCCATGGATGGGAAGCTTCGCTCTCGATACTCTTTACTACTCTGAGTTTAACAACAAAGGCCCTGGTGCTGTTGAGACTTCTAGGGTTACATGGAGGGGAATCAAGAAGATTAGTGCTCGCCAAGCTAAGGGTTACGCTCCCGCCGCCTTTTTCAGAGGGGATGCATGGGTTCGTGAAAGTGGAGTACCTTATACGCCTGGCATGATATGATGATGATGATGATACAAGCATCATTGGTGTATGCATGTACATGGGAATTAAGATGAATATGCATGCATGCATGCATTGATGGGTCAAAAAGTATGTGGTATAAGAAATTGAGAGAGTGAGAAGAGATTTTTTTTTGGATCTAATCTCCTTCTTCTTAAAATAGTAGTTTCTTAATAGAATTGAAGAAAAATATTATTTGTAAAACTATTATTATTATTATTATTATTATTATTATTATTATTGCTTGGTTTAACTTAACTGGGCATCGCCTTTCTAATAAATTTACATCAATTTGTAACTATACATTTTGCAATCAATGAATTAGAGAACCATTTTTTCTTCTCTCTTCCGACTCTCAATCTCTTTTTTTTTTTATCCATCTTTATTATTATTATTTCTTCAATTATATCTATATATATACATATATATGTTTATATGTTAGTCCTTTCTTTTTTTCCAAAAAAATAAAATAAAATAATGGGTACTATTTATTATCTTTTTAACATAATAATTTTTCTATTAAGATAGTAATTTCTCTTTAAAATTATGATTTCATTGGTGTATTCTATATAAATATTATAATTTATTTACGTAAAAAAATTAAAAAAAAAGTTATCGAACAAATAAGTAAAAAATTCATTAAACTGCAAAACGTTACCTTGTCGTAATGTGATGTGTTTCCAACACCAATAAAAAAAGTAACTCATCCAATAATATTTAACATTCAAAAAATAACCAAATAAAATACATCACAAGTTAAAATATTACAAATATCATCTCGTCCCAGACCATCACAAGAAAAACTATAACTAAAATTCTTTTTATCTGACATTAACTTAGAACTACGTGCATTTAAAGTATTTTTTATTAAAATCAATATAGTTTTATGTAAATCTAAAACAATAACATGATAAATTAAAAAGTCTTTAAAACCTATTGTTAAGAATAATAAATTACTATTTTTATTAACAACATTTAACTAGCCGTACAACTATATGTTTCGACTTGCATTGAATGCTAGGTCAGTCGTAAAATAGAATTCGAAGATCTAAATAAATATTCTATAAGATTTTGGTTTTTTTTTTTTTCAATTTATCCTCCTAAAATATTAATTTTGGGTTTAACAGTGATTTTAAAATTTTGGATTAATTAATTATAAAGAGGGGTAATATTCATTTTCAATAATAAAGACTCAAATATTATATTTAAAAATTAATAAATGTCATTATAATTAAATCTAAAGCTCAGAAATCCCACAAATTTACTTTATATAAAAATTGGGCCGGTAGGCCCATTAAAGCCCAAACCGGTTTGCTGTTTTTGATTTCTGAGGAAGGAGCCATCGAGCGGGAAAAGATTGTTGTGTAAATTCCCACACGTGTGAAGAAGCTTCTCTTTTCTCCGTAGCCATAGCAAATCGAATCTTCGTCCTTCAAACACAGAAACCTTCGCTCTCGGCAACCACTCTCGCTCTCTCTCTCTCTCTCTCTCTCTCGGCTACCTTTGTTCCTCGGTGACGTCCTTCTCTCTCTTCGAAACTTCTCTTTCTTCGACGCCATCCGCTGAGTGCGATTTCTGGGCAAGCCGGAAGTCTTTTTGCTTCTTCAACGATTTCAGCCTCCATCTCTCTCAATCCGGTCTACGTGAATTATTTTACTACATTTTTTTTGGGTTAAAATAGTGCGTATTTTGAGGATTCACGTTCTTAATTTGCAAAAGTCGGATTTTAGGGTTAAAGATTAATGCTTGAGGCGAATGGTCTTAACTGGTTGATGAAGGATATTTTCTGGGTTTCTATGCTGCCATAATGAGCCATCATAGGGAGGAAACCGGCAATGAAGGCGGTGGAAAATTCCATACCGTGCAGGCAAGTCGTGATTTAGAGGCTAATTGGGAAGTTGATTTAGCCAATAAACTCGAAGACTACCTCTTGAAAATATTTTCCGGTGAAATAATTGCAAACGGGGAAGAGTGTCAAATTCGAGTTAATTTTGCCGAAGGTTCGTTCTTTTATTGTTTTCATTTACACTTTGACAGAACTGGATTTTACTTTTTTATGGTCCTTTTAGGGATTTGTTTGTATTAGTGAATTTGGGATTTCCCTTTTGTGCGAAATGTAGCTGCTTTGCTGCTTCAGGGTTCCGTTCAAGTGTATAGCCGGAAGGTCGAGTATCTCTATAACTTGGTTTTGCATACTTTGGAGTTCCTTTCTCAGCAGAGGTTAGCTTTCTTTTTCTCCCTTTTTTCTTCTTTTCCCAAATTAACATTTCTTTGGTTGACTGTTTTAGTTTGAATCGATCTTTTTTAAAAAATAAAATTAAAAAGTTAAGGCGGTACTTATTTCTGATGTAGAATGATAATCTTAAATCTGTAATAGCTCGATAGACCATTTGACGGCTAAGACAGTACTTTTCTTATCTGGGATGTAAATGATTTGGTTCATGCATCGCATCTTATGTACTGCTTTTCAATCATTCAGTTAGGTAAGTACGTAGGCTTCTTCGTTGGGAGAATATATCTTGTTTATATTCGCGGGGTACTTAAGTAAGCAAACTCAAAAAGGATATTTAATCTTTCCTGAAAAGGAATATCCTGGGATGCCCTTCAGAGAACTCGTCCTATAGATGTGCCGAAAGTAGATAATCTTAAATCTGTAATAGCTCGATAGACCATTTGACGGATAAGACAGTACTCTTCTTATCTGGGATATAAATGATTTGGTTCATGTATCGCATCTTATATACTGCTTTTCAATCATTCAGTTAGTTAAGTACAGAGAGGTCTTCTTCGGGAGAATATATCAAGTTCATATTCACGGGGTATTTATGTAAAAGCAAACTCAAAAGCTAATATTTAATCTTTCCGTACAGAGCTCGTCCTATTGATGTGCAGAAAGTAAATAGCTTTTAACTGGGGTTGGGTGCTTGAGCTAGGGTATCCATTCAGTCATCCTTGTCTTCCTATATGATTTTTAGCATACTGCAGTTTGGAAGTCTTATTAACATTTTTCTTTCCCTTTTTAAGTATGAGTTTATACCAGCATCTTCCTCGCATAATCAGGCATGAAATTTTGTGAGGTTTCAAAAGTTTAGAGGAGAGAAGTAAACCAATTTGCTTGTTCGCATAATCATAGAATCAATCAACCGAGTGAACATAAGCATATCCTGGACATTGGCATATTACACGGGTTTCCTTTGACAGTCGGGGTACATGCATTCACAAGATGCTATCTTTCTATTATTACTGGAGTTCTGTAACTCAGACCCATTATGATCACTTCTCCTAAATTTCATAAGTATAAAGTAAACAACTAACTTTTAGCCATTTTCCAAATTTTTGTTTATGTCCAGGAAGGAAGATCAGTTAGATGGCACATTAGCTCAGCCTAAAGAAAGCTGTCCTGATGCAGTTTCAGATGAAGAAAATGATCTATTCTGGAGTGTAGATGATGTGCAAGGTAGCTTATGACTTTACTTGTTACTACTTTACCTGGTGAAGTTATGGTGCTAGCTTAGCTATAGTTTTTCTTATATTGCAGTGGATGCAAAGAATCGCTTAGATAGTTCAAGTAGCAAAGATGCTTATTTTAATAACTTTGTGAAGCCCCCAGCAAATCTAGTTGTTCTTGAAGGAGATTGCTTAGATCCTACTGGAGATGGTGGGGAATTAGAGTCCTATCTGGTATTGCAGTTGCTTCACTTTTTTAAAGTATTAATACATTGACTACGTGTAATTTCCTTTATTTAGTAAATTTTTATGTTGTTGCAGTTAGCTACTAGTGATCTCTACCGGGATTTTATCCTATTGGATCCATGTGATGCTGTAGCAGTTAATGAGTTTTTGGGTAATGATGAAACTGCTACGGGGAAAACTGATGCTTACAGGGAGAGCTCAATTCGCAAGAGTTTTCAGTCTCCTACAAGACGATCTGCAGGAACTGCAAATAAGTCAGCTTCTCGAAAGAATCAAGATGCTAATTCCAATCTATCTTCTACCCATAACTGTGGTTTTAATGTTAATAGTTCTAGTAAGGGGCCTAATCCTCATAAATTCGATAACCTTGAAGACAACGAGCAAGTATTTGATATGGACGACGGAAGCTCAGAACCTATGAATATGAATGATTCTGGTTCTGATGATAATGATGATCCATGGAAGCCTTTGAATCCCCATGAACCTGGGAATTTGAGAGTGAAGCCTTTTAGAGAAGGTTCATAGATTGTTTATTTCACTCGCTTTATTTAACAGTAAGATTTCATTCTGCACCTAATGCACTTTGCTTTGACCTTCATGAGCAGTTAAAGCTTCCAGAAGGAGTGGAACAAATTCTATGAACAGGATCTCTATAACTACACTCTTTCCACTTGCTAGAATGCGTGGCACTGTCAGTCCTGAACTTAATGGAATATGGGAAATGCATCGTGATGCACTTCATAGAGAAAGAAAATCTGAGGATCCTCCATTGTACGAAAAGGTACAGTTTCTGAAACATGTATCTGTATGAACTTGTTTATGTATTGTCATACATGAGACCAAGAGGTTTGATATTCTATTGCAGCTTAGACAGTCACTCGTAGATGGTGAATGTCAAACTTTTGATGGCTTTGGTAATCCTGATGTTGAAAATGAGGATAATGGATATGATGATGACATGCCTGATTTTGTGCAACCAGATGGTGATATGCCGGAGAATATGTACATGAATGAAGATGTACTTCATTTTGAAAAGGTTAGCAGTGGTTTGATTATGCTGTCTATCTGCAATTGAAATTGTATTAAATGATATATTGTTCGTCTATTGAGCTCTACAGAACAATGACAGTACCGCTCACTTTGATGCTAATGGAGCATTTCAAGATGGAGGTCCAAATTCTCAAGCAAGCCTTGAAGAGCTTTGTCGTTCACATCTGGTGAGCAGGATTTTTTTTTTCTGGTTTAGGAATACAAGTAACTTCTTAATTTTTGTTCAAGAAACTTAGTAGTTGACTCTCGCAGACTTTCTACACTAACAATCTTTATCTTATCAAAGTTTTTTATGACTTTTAATTACTATTTTGTATTCTTTTTCTTTTAGAATGTTGAACAAAATAAAACTTAATGTTCTTTTTAGATTAGAAGGAATTCAATAAATTTAAAAAATACATAATAATTGATTAAAAATTTTACACAAAATGAATTCAATTAAGAGATAACAAGAAGTGGGACTTCGCTCAACATATTTGATGTCTTCTCCTTTGGAGAAAGACGTAATAGCTATTCAATTGGCAATTCCATCAATTTGTCTTTTATCTAGAAAATGAGTTCTACATCAGGACCTAAATAATTCTTAGGAGTGAAGTAATTTTAGGGTTCTTGTTACCGTTAATTTTGTTTTTTGTTTTTTCATTATTTCTTTCTGTTATCTCCCTTCAGTTAGCATATTGGCAACACGTGGAGAATATTCTGATTACCTGCTGGTGACAAGTCTAAAATGTATGACTATCCTCTGTCGTACCAGTGATTGATACCTCAAAAGGTGGTCTGCACCCACCATAATGCGATGAAAATTATTGAGAACAATTTCTAAATCCTTCTCTGCTCTTCTTTCTGTTTCCCCCGGTATTCTCTTTTCTCTCCCTTTTCCTAATTCTTCCTCTATTTCCCTTCACTTTTCTGCTAGTCTAACCTAGCAAAACCCTAATGAGTGGCCCATGATAGCCTGGTCAAAGCATAACGGCTCCGAAGCACCTACTGCAATAGCTTCCAAACTGGCGAAGGGTAAAAGAAAATTTGTAACAACTGGTACCTAGAGGGTGTCTCAGCATGAGGACACTGTCTGTGGAATTGACTATCATTTCTAGGACTTTATGGTTGAAATATATGAGTCCATGGAAGCCAGAATGACAGAGAACAATGCCTTTTATGCAGCCTATGATGGTAGAAACCATCAAGAATTTTCTTGCACCACATCAACCCTTTCAACACCCGTCTCCATCACCAATTAACACAGCCGTCAAGACGAACAAATATCGCAAGCCCCTTTGCCAACTAGAGGTTTTCTGCCCACCCCTGAAGTCAGGATAACATGGGTGGTAGCCAAACATAGATGGCCTTCAGAAACATGGGAGAATAACATACCCATGTTGACTTACCTATTTTCAAAGGGACGAAAACCCCAGGGAATGGCTGTCATGCTGCCAGTAACCCCAGATGAGCTGACGGTGGAGTTAGCTGCCTTGTTCCTTGGAGGTAAGTCGGACACTTCGTACTAACCAAGTGGAGAACTAATCATGTGATCATTTCTTTGAATGTGCCTTTCATGGATGCAGGAAATCCACCAGTCTTACCAAAGAGATATTACCGCCCAAAGTCTCATCACCGAGCTGACCATAACTCCCAAAATGAGACCTCCTTACTCCCATACAAGGGCTTTTGAGGTATAAGGACAAACTGTATATAGGAGAAGGAACTGAACTCAGGGAACAGTTGCTACACCTTCACCGTGACTCTCCAATAAGTGGTCATTTAGGGATGAAGGGAACTTATGATCAACTCAAGCAAGGGTTTTTCTGGCCCAGAATGAAACAAGTGGCAGTCTGAGTTCGGACGTGCAATGTGTGCCAACAGTGCAAGAGAGAAAATGTTCCTTATCCAGGGGTATTGAAGCCATTCCCAATCCCTACGCAAGCATGGGCACATGTTATCATAGATTTTCTAGAATAGCTACCAAAATCCAAACAAAAAGACACAATCCCAGTGGTAGTGAACAGATTCACAAAATTCAGTCATTTTATCACGCTATCAAACCCGTTTACAGCACAAAAGGTGGCTAAAGACTTCTTAGATCATGTCCACAACAATGCATTGAGAACTATCTCATATGCATGGCCTTCAGAAAACCGAGAGAATGGGCTAGGTGGCTGAGGTTAGCAGAATGGTAGTCCAACAGAACCTACCAGAGCAACCTAAAAATGTCTTCCTTGATTGCCTTGTATGGCTGCCCACCTCCCCTCATCACTGAGCAGATAGTTGAGGAGACATGAGTAGCACAATTGGAGGAATGAGTTGAGACCAGGAAGGAAATGGACAAAATGCTGAGGGAACAATTAGTGGAGTCCCAGAATCGGATGAAGTTATTTGCGGACATTAAGAGGACTGAAAGAACATTCTTGGGGGCTAACTTAGTTCTGCTAAAATTGCAGTCTTACCACCAGTCCAGCGTGGCTATTAGGAAATACCTCAATTTGGCTCCAAAATTCTGTGGTCCATTCCAAGTTGAAGCAAAGATACGGTCCATTGCATATCAGCTTCAAAATGTCCCCAGGAAAAAGTATTCATCATATGTCTTATATGTCACTACTCAAAAGGTATATTGGAGATCTCAACCCAAAAGACAGGAAACTACGTATTACAGATTCTGAGGGGCAGATCAGGGGGGAGCCAAAAATTATTCTGCAGAAGAAGACTGTTGATTGACGAGGAAGACCCATAGAGCAGGAAGACCCATAGAGCAAGTTCTTGTCAAATGGCTCAGTATGGGACTAGAGGAGACGACCTGGAAAGATTGGAAATTTCTGAAGGGGAAATTCCCTCACCTGAACCTTGGGGACAAGCTGTTCGGAAAGGGTGATGTCAGGACCTGACTAATTCTTAGGAGTCTATCAGGGTTCTTGTTACTGTTAAGTCTATTAGCAGCACCTGGAGAATATTCTGATGTACCAGCTGGTGACAGCTGTAAAATGTGTGACTGTCCTCTATTTAGTACCTTAAAAGGTAGTCTGCATTCACCAGAATGCGGTGAGAACTATCCAGAAGAATTTCTAAATCCTTCCCTTCTCTTCTCTCTGCTTCCCCCTGCATTCTCTTTTCTCTTCTCTCCCTAATTCTTCCTCTATTTCCCTTCACTTTTCTGCTAGTCTAACCTAGCAAAATCCTAATGAGTCAAGTCCCTGAAATTATATTGTATAGAAAGCATTATAGCCCTTATTATATGACCAAATCATATATCAAATTTATTTTGTTCACAAAATTTTAGAACTCTTTCCACAAGTGAATAATTAGATGAATAAATAAACTTTATACAAAAGGATGCTACAAGTATTTTTGTGCATGAATATACATCTGCAAGCATTTCAGGCATCAAAAGTTGAGCT